AATAGGAATCGAAAATTAGGCCCAAGAACTTGGCCTCCTTTACAACTTTGATGGGTGTGCTATTAAAGATTAGTTCTGTGTCTTTATGAGGCTTATATTTTCTATAGAAGCGTATACAATTAGTTTTGATTTATAAAATTTAAGGTCGTTTTCAAGACACCATTTATTAGTTTTGTATAAGCACAACTGCAGTTGTCGTTCAACAGAATGCATGTATTTACCTCGACAAGAAATATTAAAATCATCCACAAAAAGTGATCCACTGATTGAATCATTTAAAATCGTGGAAAAACTGTTGATCTTAATAATAAACAATGTAGCCTTGTGGGGTTGAATATAATGGTCAGAGAGGGTTGAACCCACTTGGACTTGAAATTGCCTGTCTTTTAAAAACTGTGATATAAAAAGAGGTAAACGACCCCTCAAACCAAAGTCATTTAAAACCTTCAAAATGCCATGCTTCCAGGTGGTACTGTATGCTTTTTCGAGATCAAAGAATATCGATACTGCATGTTGTTTATTTACTATAGCATTTTTAACAAAGGATTCTAAACGTACCAAATGATCAATGGTACTACGTTTTTTCCTGAAACCACATTGAATATTTGTTATAAGGTTATTGGTTTCAAGATACCAAGTTAATCTATTATTGACCATACGTTCCATGGTTTTACAGACACAGCTAGTTAGAGATATAGGTCTGTAATTAGACGGATCTGTATGATCCCTGCCAGGTTTTGGTATTGGGACTACAATGGCATTATGCCACGAAGGAGGAAATTCTCCAGACGTCCATATTTTGTCAAATATATCTAAAAGTGTCATCAGACATGGTTCAGGTAAGTGTTTCAGTAGCTGGTAATGTATATTATCATTATCATATTTGTAGCTCATGTAATGAAAACACTTCGTTATAATCTTCACCGTTATTTGATTCGAAGTTAAGTTTTGTCTTTTCCTGTTGTTTCTGATATCTCTGAAACTCAGGGACATAATTTTCCGATGATGAATTTTTGGCAAGAGTTTCGCCAATTTTATTTGCAATTTTAGATTTGTCAGTAATTAAATTATCACCATCTTGAAGATGGTGAACAGCAGATTTTGAACCTTTCTTTGAACCATGTTCCATACCTTACATATTGGCGTGCGTGAATTAATTGTTGAGACATAATTTCTCCAAGATTGTCGTTTGTTTTGTTTAAAGGTACGACGCGCCTTTGCATTGAGTCTTTTAAATTTATTTAAGGTATGGACAGTTGGATGATGGCGGAAATAACGCTCTGCCTTTTTCCTCGCTTTTCTGGCTTGTCTACAATCTGTATTAAACCATGGTTTTCGTACATGTGGAGTCGTAGAGGACTTTGGTATACACTCATCAGCTATTTTCTTTAAAACGTCAGCAAAAGTTTGAATGGGATCAGTTATATCACTGAAACATTCCGTTTCGCAGTTTCAATTTACATATAGTTTGATATAAAGACCAGTTAGCTCTTTCGAAAGTTCCATCTTGTATGCGATGGAGAATCAGATGGAGTTATTTCTGAAAGGATAGTTGGGAAGTGGTCACTTCCATGAAGATCATTATGAACAGACCAATCAAATTCATTCAGGAGGTTAGAATCTGCAAGAGACGAATCCAGAGAAGAATAAGTGCCAGTTGCAGGATGCAGATAGGTGCTTGAATCATCATTAAATATGCACAGGTCATTATTGGAAATGAAATCTTCAAGTATTTTGCCTTTAGTGTTAGTGTTAGTACTGCCCCAGAGTGGGTTGTGACCGTTTAGGTCACCCATAAAAACATATGGTTTCGGGAGTTGATCATAGAATGATTGAAGATCAGTCTGTTGAAGTGCCGATGAAGGCGGAATATAGAGAGAGCATAATGTAAATGCTACACCCAGAGTAAGTCGCACTGCAACAGCTTGGAGATTTGTGTTAAGTGTAACAGGGCTGTGAATAACATCCTGTCGTATAAGGATAGTAGAACCCCCAGTGGCCCTATCACCCAGAGGGGAAAAATAATGATAGGCTTCAAACTGACGTAAGCTAAAATTATCTGTCCGTTTCAGATACGTCTCTTGCAGACAGAACGCTGATGGTGTTAAATCCTGGATCAATAGCTGTATTTCATTAAAATTTGTCTGTAGTCCTCTACAGTTCCAAAGCACGATATTGTTAGATAGACCTATCTTCTAGGCGGATTAATTGTGGATCTGCCCCGCACCGTTTTCGAGGGCGACAAGCTATGTGCCCTAGAATGGACGTTTTCGGACACGTCCATGTCCTCAAGTGATCCGTATTTGTTAAATAATTTGATTTTATCATCTGACCCTTTTGGGGCTCTGCCACTTTGTTTCTTCAAAGCATCTGGCTTCGGTTTGCCTTTGTTTTTAAGTATTTGTTGAACGTTTGACGTTGAGTGAGACCTTTGAGTCGACTGAGAAGATGTGTCACGGTCATAAGATGGTTCTGATTGGATTTGGGGTGTCAGGAAGTGTTTCTGCAGTCTGTGTAGATATTGCAGGTGACAAAATCTTCGGAGAATCTGTTTTTATCCAAGTCAAGTTCGTCTGACAGCTGGCAGATGATTTAGTTACTGATGGGGTTGTGTCTGAAGATGTTTTGGCTTTGGAAGCATAGGTTTCCTTAATTTCCGTTCTCAAGACAAGCATTTTGGCATCAGCAAAACTGATATTTTGAGTAAACTTTATCTTATTTATCTCCATCTGCTGTTTCCAAATGGGACAATCTTTTGAGAACGATGAGTGATCACCTGCACAATTGGTACACTTCTTAAAGGTACTGACACAGTCTTCTGTTGTATGTGTCTTCTCACCACAGTGAGCACACACAAGAGACAATGTGGAAGGATTAACACCGTGTCCGTATTTCTGACATTTGAAACACCGCAGAGGACTTGGGATGTACACATCAACTTTTACATTGTAGTAACCCGCCTTGACTGATGGTGGAGGATTCGGGGCAGAGAAAGAAAAGAGATATGTATTGGTTTGCACAGTTTCAGTATTTTTACGGGTTGTAAACCTTTTCACGTAAAGGACTCCTTGATCTTTCATCTTACAATGTCAATTTCCGTCATATCTTCAAAGAGACGGTCTCGGTCTCGTACAATACCCTTACTGGTGTTAAGTGTTCTGTGTGCAGAGACCATAACCGGAACTCTGACAAACAGCTCTGTTGCTTGCTGTTTTCTGTGACACTCGAGTAATAGAGCTCCTGTACGCAAGCGTTTAATGTTCTTAATTTCACCTGCTATGCCGTGGACAGCTTTTGATATTGCAAACGGATTTAGCTTCAATGGAGTTTTATCAAGAGTCTCAAGAACGAGAAAACGTGGCCAGTAATCAACGGATTTTGAGGGTCGCTGTTCGTCGTCATCAGTATCGAGTGGACACTTCGTTTTTTTGTTTGGGGTTTCGTAAGCCATGTTGAGTTTATTTTGATTCGTCATCCGAGCTCCCCACCCACCACGGAGTATCATAAAGACAATGCTGATCGCAAGTGGATTTCCAACTTGCAGCACCAAGGATACCCGGATGATATACTCATGCAGAATAATCAACAAGTAATTATTCCACCAGATTGGCCCATGAGCCACTGCTTTCTGGACATAGGACTCTAGGCAAAATACTAAATTTGAGTTGTACATTCAAAATACAAATATATTATCATAAAGCCGAGACACCTGACAAAATGTTTCTAAATAATTTAAAAAATTTGTACAGCACAATTTACATGTACAGGGCTTAGCATGACCAGCCGATTGATAGAACCGGGTCAGTTCTACCACCTGTCTAGGTGAAGTAAGGGGCGAAGTGGTGTGTTGGGCAAAGGAACGCTGTCCCTGGAACCAGTGCCCTCAACCACCAGACTCCCGTCCTCCACCGACATAGAGGCGCAACCCACGGCAAACGGGTTGGTGGACCAAACATATCCCCAGGTCCACAACGGGGTTGGGAGTGTGTGTGGGTGTGTGTGTGTGTTTGAAGAGCGCTTAGCGTTACCCAGCACCCACCACGAGGAGGTGGCTCTTCACGGGTGCCAAATGTTTAAGGAGCTTCAACTCTCGATGGTGTGCGCGTGGCAGCGCCACTCCTACATCCTGTTTGTGAAGGAGTGATCTCCATGTCAAGCGGGTCAAAAAGATTCTGAACCGCCACAGGAGGTGTTATAAGAGAAGGCTCGTCTAAATGTTGAAGAGCTCTGGTCTTTCTTCTCAACTTTTTCCTTTCTTTGCTTGTGAGGTGAACAACACTCTGAATATCTGGACTTGAAGCAATATCAAAAGTTTGTGCTGGTTGGGTCTCCTCAGTCTGGGAGGCTGATGAGCGCTGACAAGCTTGTGATGATTGAGTCGTGTCATCAAAGGTTAGCTGGGCGTCATTACTTCAAGATTTCACTGTCTGACAAGAAGTTGAAACAGTTGAAGCTTTGTTTAACAAAAGAAAGAGCAGGAGAAGAAACTGTAGCAGCGTATGTAAGACCTGTAGCTGGTCTTGATTGAGTCGGAACCTATTTTTTTGCTTCAAAGTATGAGATATTATTTATGCATTTCAATTTCAGGAATTTGCTCACATACTCAAATAATGGACAAGCTTTCTATGATGCCAGATGCCCTCCACTGCAGTTGGCACACTTTATGTCATTAGTACATTCAGTACTTTCATGAGCTCCACTGCAGCGTGAGCACACTGACTTGCCAGTACAAGACCTCGCACCATGTCCACTTCTGGCATTTGTAACACTGGAGTGGATTTGGTACATATACCTCCACTCCGATATTACAGTATCCAGGTTTTATGAATTTGGGAAGAGAAGTCAATCTAAAAGTGAAAAGGTAAGTATTTGTATTTATAAAGGTTGACTCTTGTTTCCTGCTAAAACGTTAAACTGAAGTAACTCCCTGGTCTTTCAACTCTGCTACAATCTCTTCTTGTGTCATGTCTGAGAGACAGTGGGCCATGTCTCTAATGATACCTCTACATGTGTTGAGATTTTTGTGAGCTGAAACAACATCCTGGTTGTTTACAAACTGCTATAGTCCCAGCAGATTGACAGACTGTTGCCTTCGTAAGCATTCAATTCAACGAGAACCGTTCCGCGGACGAGTGACATTTTTACCTCTGCGCAGATACCTTGGATACCCTTGGAGACGGCAAAAGGATTGATCTTTAAAGGATTCCCATCAGCACTTTCAATGACCAAAAATCTTGGCCAGGAATCATACCACCTGTATTGGTGAAGTTAGGGTCAAAGAGGTTGTTGGGCAAAGGAACGCTGTTCCTGGAACCACCATGAGGAGGTTGCTCTTCAAGGTTGCCGTTTCACCTATTGGAACACTTCTTTTTGTCAAGTGTTGAAGAACTTGTATGCAAATGTTGAATCAGTTGTTTTTGTCAAGCATTAAAATACTTCTTTTGTCAAGCGCTGGTACACTTGTATTTGTCAAGTATTGAAACAGTCTTGTTTTTTAAAGTGTTGGAACACTTGTTTTGTCAAGCACTGAAACACTTGTTTTGTCAATTGTTGAATCGCTTGTTTTTGTCAAGCGTTGAAGCACAAATGTCTTGTATTTGTTAAGCGTTGAATCACTTGTTTTTGTCAAGCATTGAAACACTTCTATTTGTCAAGTGTTGAAAAACTTGTTTTGTCAAGTGTTGAAACACTTCTATTTGTCAAGTGTTGAAAAACTTGTTTTGTCAAGTGTTGAAACACTTCTCTGTGTCAAGTGTTGAAAAACTTGTTTTGTCAAGTGTTGAAACACTTGTTTTTGTAAAGCGTTGAATCACTTGTTATTGTCAAGCATTGAAACGTTTCTATTTGTCAAGCATTGAAACACTCAAGTGGTGAAACACTTGTATTTGTTAAACGTAGAAAAACTTGTTTCGTCAAGTGTTGAATCGCTTGTTTTGTGAAGCGCCGAAACACTTGCACTTGTTAAGCGTTGAAACACTTCTATTTGTCAAGTGTTGAAACACTTGTTTTGCCAAGCGTTGAATCATTTGTTTTGCTCAGCATTGAAACACTTGGATTTGTCAAGCGTTGAACGGCTTGTATTTGTTAAGCGTTCAATCACTTGTTTTGTCAAGCACTGAAACACTTGTTTTTTTAAGCGTTCAAAACACAGGTTTTGCCAAGCGTTAAGACATTTGTATTTGTTGAGGGTTGGATAGTGTTTTTGGTTTCGCATTGAAACACTTGTTTTGTCAAACGTTGAGACACTTGTATTTGTTTCGCATTGAAACACTTGTTTTGTGAAGCATTGAAACACTTGTTTTGCTAACCGTTGAGACATTTGTTTTGTGAAGCATTGAAACATTTGTTTTGTGAAGCACTGGAACACTTGTTTTGCTAACCGTTGAAACATTTGTTTTGTGAAGCATTGAAACACTTGTTTTGTGAAGCCTTGAAAGACTTGTTTTGTTAACCGTTGAAACATTTGTTTTGTGAAGCGTTGAGACACTTATATTTGTTTCGCATTGAAACACTTGTTATGTGAAGCATTGAAACACTTGTTTTGCTAACCGTTGAAACATTTGTTTTGTGAAGCGTTGAAACACTTGTTTTGTGAAGCCTTGAAACATTTGTTTTGTGAAGCACTGGAACACTTGTTTTGCTAACCGTTGAAACATTTGTTTTGTGAAGCGTTGAAACACTTGTTTTGTGAAGCCTTGAAAGACTTCTTTTGTTAACCGTTGAAACATTAATATTTGCCAATCGTGGAAACACTTGTTTTGTTTGAAACACTTGTCTTGTCAAACGTTGCAACACTTGTATTTATTCAAAATTGAATCATTTGTATTTGTCAGGCGTGGAAACACTTGTAAACTTCTCACTGGTGTATGTTAAAGCGATACTCATGAGGCCTGTCCACTTCCCAAAGGTTGCTCTTTATGCGTGTTACTTCCCCTACTGCCATAGGTCATCATTAATAAGCACCGGTTATTAAACCCAGAAGGAACCTTATTAAGTCTGGCTGCCAATAAACATCTTATCCTATGTTGATTTAGGTATTTCAAATTAAAATAATCAAACGAAAATATTTTGTCCAATGAAATCAGTCGTCCATTGTGCTGAATCTGTTCCCGTTTCGTTATTAACGATAAGATATGTTAGAAACCTCTTTGTCACGCATACGCCTTCCTCTGACACAGGTGCGGCTAGAGTCAGTATTGTGATTTGATGTACTTCCTGGTCGACAGGAGCACTTCTTTGTTGTAACCTGCACGTGGTTGTGCCCTATGATATGATATAGGCAAGAGACTTACTGTCACGTGTGTAGAGTACAACAGGCCATTCGTCACTACATGCTCCATTCCGTAACCTGACAGAAGATCACTATTCGGCTTGTGCCTGAATAACACCCCCGTAAAGATCCGTTTTAGAATTGTTTTTCAGTAACCCATACATATCGTAAGAGGCGACTAAAGGGATCGGGTGGTCAGGCCCGCTGACTTCGTTGAGACATGCCATCGTATCCCAATTGTGTAGATCGAGGCTCATGCTGTTGATCACTGGATCGTCTGGTCCATATATATTTACAGATCTTCGTCATATAGCTAGAACATTGCTGGGTGTGGCGTTAAACAACAAACAAACAAGCAATAAGTCTCAAAGTGTGGGATGACACCGGGAAAATGAATGGTAGTAAACTAAGAACCTATAGATGTTTTAAATAAGATCCTGTTGTTTGCCCTTAGGTAAAACGTGTTTGGAAAAGAAGCATTCTCGCCAAGTTCCGGAGTGGTTGTCTCCCTTTAGCTATAGAGACTGGCCGTTACTCCAGGCCTCCTTTTCCGCTGGAGAATAGAATTTGTAGATATTGCAATAATACAAATACCATTGAAGATGAACGACATTTTTTAGTAAATTGTGAATTCTATTCAGACCTTAAGTCTACCCCGTGGAATGAAGCAGAGATAATAAACCCATCCTTTGTAGATTATAACGAAGAAATGAAGTTTGTTATCATGCTGCAGTGTTATCTTTTACAGCCGCATCTAGCAATTACACTAACAACAATGTTCAAGAGAAGTCAAGCAGTCATATGAATACATGTATATGCCGCATATATATATGCCCACCCTACTTCTATTATATCTTTTGTATTGTTTTAATGTGACAATGTCTTTTGTCGCTATTTATTGTTTTATTTGTAAAAAGTGCCTCATAGGCCACTGGGCCGGACATCTATTCGCATTTTAATGCGCTTTTTTCTATGTACATTTTAATATGTTTTATATTCCGTTGGTTACAGATGTGTGACACCAAAATTAACTATTTCTTTCTCTCTTTCTGCCTGTATATCTATAAAGGAACATGGTACTAAGTGGTACTAAGTTTGAAAGGATAAATGGGAATTGCACTAGACTGGTTCTCGGTATATCTGCAGGCTTGCAAGTAAAAATAAATGCCCACCCTGTAATATGATATGTCTTTTGACTTATGGCTGCGTGTTTAGAGTACAACAAAGCTATTTGTCACCAAGATCACTATGTGGCTTTTCCCAGAATAACAGAAAAATAACAGTTGGTCACAAAAGCACAGCAGGCGTTTTCAAGACTAAGGGACACAAAGAACTATTTCAGTATGTACTGTAACGTGAGCGCGGTTTGCCTTATTAGTACGTGTCAATTACACGTGTACTGTAAGTTTTATGCAATGAAATTTGGTGAATTTGGTGAGAGAGAGAGAGAGAGATCAGTGCAAAGAAAAGCTCAGATTATGACGCCAAGACACAACGAAAATGTTCATGAGATAACGATCACAACACACTATATCTATACATAGGACATCAGAATTTACAACATATTTCATTTCAAACAATCACAGCAAAATATACCTTTCAAAATTAGAGGTGTTCAACAAAATTAATTTCTTCCTCAAACATCAGTCTGGTTCATAAAAGCACCATGCTATTGTGCTTGAAGTCATGTTCACACAATCCAGTAAACTATTGTATTTTCTTAAGCAAACACGTGCATGTATATCTTCAAGTTGGCAGTAGAGGTAGTGAGTGGCTGACGTCACCCTAAATTGTTCCATGTTGTATGTGTTGATTGTATTCCGTACGACTGTTGACACGTAACTTTAATTAACAGTTGTTTAGCTGATTGTAAATTCAAGGTAGTTGGTTATTATCCATTTTGCTGTCGATGAATAGAAATGCCACGAAGCCAATACCAGGTGTTGCCATAAGGTAAGCGTGCCGTGTCCCAGTGATTCTACATTCGTAAACTGTTAGTCACAGAGTTAACGTCAACTACAGTTGCGTGACATGGAATTCTATCCTGAACTCATTGTAAAGGTGCCTCTCTGATTATAGCAGTTATGTTTACGCCCTTTGCATACTGATAACATTCAAACGTACCGACGTCAACAACAGTTACCTGACATCGATCACCTCGGTGAGGGATCAGACGGGTTTCTTTCCCCAGTACAAACCAAAAACATGTGTTCCATCTTTCAGGGTAAGAAGTACGGTCCATTTGTGGATCTGTTATCCCGCTCCAAACATGGAGTGAGTTGACCTTCTTCTTTATCTCTTTCAAACTTTCAGCTGAACTACCCTGTTCCACCTCAACAACATCTCGACTGAATCCTGTTTGAGCATTTCGAATATACCCCTTGTATTTTCCAGTAAATGTCTGATTTTTTAAAACTTTGTATATGTCGAGAATTTGATCTTCCAATGCGATGCTCGTCATGGTGTCCTGGTCGGCACACAACATGCAACCACGTTAGAATAGTCAGGGACAACTGAGCAAAGAGTTGGAACAAGTCGTGTCGCTTTATCTGGTGGTATCCACATAAGGTCTAACTATAGCCAAGATATTTTTTATTTCACGCAGCCGACTGTCCAAACACTCATGAAACCACTTGAGGAATAGGATATTTATGTCCTTCACCACTGCGCTCTGAACATGTACTAGTTTGTGGAATATAGCGCATGGCAATTATGTTTTTCTATTATACATAAAGATTACA